CCTCTTTCTGTTACACGGAGTACATATGTCAGAAGCAGCTGTTTTGGACTACTATATGCTATAGCTGCTGCATAGGAACCATAGGTCGAAAAGTAGGTTCCTAACAGATTCCTGCATGACTTCGGCAAGATTCTGGAAAGGTGTATTCGAAGAAGCACACCTGAATACCACGGAAATACAGCGGTAAATCCCGAAATTTTAGTTTGGGTATTGATTCAAACACAGTACCCTAGAGCATCGATTAGCAAACCTTATACTGCACGGATTCCAGAGGAAGGAGTATATGGTGGCAGCATATCCTTTCATTTTCGGTACTTCCAATAAACTGTAATTTCGGCTTTCGGAGCATCGCATCCAGCGAGTGTTAAAGGCCTTCTGTGAAGATTCTTCAGATGTATGCTACTGGTAGATGAGTACCATTGTGCTCTCCTGAGAGAACTTCTCCGCATGCTTTAATTACTTGTTTCTGTTGTAATGCAAAATTCTTTGCTGTAATCTGGGTATTATAGCAATGATGTTATTTTTAATTCTGCCGATAGATAATCAAAAGCGGGAAGTCATTCATTCATTCTGTTTACATAATCGTGTTATGTGACGAGAACAGTCCAAGAAATTGTTGTTCAAAGTCTGTCATAATTACAGAGATTAATAAATTTTCTAGTGACATCTGCCTCCATTATTTCTGGGTATTTCTCGATGAGATCGTTTTTTTTTTGTCATCTGATAAATCACTTTTGTCAGTTCACCAGAAAAGATCTCTTTGTACATATAATATAATCCTTCCTGTGAACCTAGCGTGATGATGGGCTTCCGAAAAAAACATTTGTTTTACGGAATAACCAATGAAACGAAAATTAAGTTTTTCAACATTTACAATTTCTAAAATAGCTTGACCGAACTGGGAATTTATAAGTTTCACGTTGCTCGCTCCATATATATTGCGCCCTATATATATACTACATGCGGACCACTGTAACATATAGCTGACATAGTAACGATTAATAGAAAATTATGTACTTATACTATTTAAGTATTGATATGTTTAATATGCGGCTTTTAAGGTCGCGTTAGCCTTATGCACCGTTTGTTTGTCATTGGTTACATTCCCCATTTATTGTTAAGCAGAACTAGTTTTAGATTTTGTTTTCTATTAGGTAGCCAGCCTGAGTGGAGTTGGGGGTGGAGAATCTAGGCAAGACTTCTTCAGCCAAGCCTCAGATGTGTATATGTCAATATATAAAACTGTTTGTCCTGACTTACCGACACTGATTGGTGATCAACGCACAGTCCAAGCCGTAAGAGCTTTGAAGCTGTCATTTACAAGGTAGTTATCTTATGCGATGAACGTGCACGTTAAGACGGGGTTTCGGGAAATTCCAAGAATGGAAAAATCGCGAAAAACATTTGTATGAAAACTTTTTGGTTTACCATCCGATTGTCTTCAAACTCAATTTCAAAGTTCATTGCGCAAATTCATTTGAGGGGTGTTTCACACTTTTCCAAAAATGTATTCCTCCTTGGTGGGAATGGGGATCAAAGAATTGGTGGGTGACGTTTCGCGCTCAAATTCATTTTCTAAGCTCTATATGAAAAATCATTTGAGAAGTGTTTTAAATTTTTCGAAAATCTAAACTTCTTCGGTAGAAGTGCTTCACACTCTTCGAAAAATCCAATCCTCCTTGGCGGGAATGAAAGGCAAAGATTTGGCGGGTGGCTTTTTGCCTTCAAATTCGTTTGCATGGATCTACATAAAAAATCATTTGAGACGTGGTTTACATATTTTGCAAAAAGATAAGGTCCTTTGGCGAAAAGGGCATTTTAAAGTAATTTTTTGAGAATTTTAAGATGTTTCCGATTTGCATCAAACTTATTTTCAAAGCTCAATATGAGAATGTAATGAATACGTGTTTCAGCTATTTGGGAAATTCCGCTCGAAACAGTGGTAAAATGACGAAAACGCTTTTTCAAAGCTATTCGATAACATTGATTTTATAGCATAAGTGCCATGGGTAAGGCCGGGCTATACCCGCTAGTATTTATATATTTTTTTATTATAATGGTCGACAAAACGAGTGTCCCTCTCATTATTCAATAGATTATACAATACAATAATTATATGCTATAAGCCTAGTTAAAGGACACATATTTCTAAATAGCATCACCGACCAATGGAAGTGTTTTATTTGCGTCCGTGCCCCTTTTTACAGCTAATTTTGTCTGTGGAGCTACAGAGCCTACTTCTAAGCAGAAGAGTGTAAGAAGAAAAAAAATGTTCTTAAGTAAAATTTAAAATTATCTTAACATGCTATATTCATTAAGAAAATGCAATAAAAAGGAAAAAATAAAATAAGAAGATTTTTAATAAAGTGAAGCAAAGTAAGGTAGATATAAAAAGTGTTAAGATAGGACAAAGAGAAAAGTAATGGGAAATCAGTAAGGGCTGTAATGAAATTCCAGTGTGTAGGTACTTGAAGCGCCGCACACATCCGACTTTTATTTCGTCAATTAAGGCAGCGCCCGCTACCTCCCCACCCTCACCCCAGCCAGTGTGTGTTTGCTTTGTCTGTATTTAATTGTATTGTATTTCTAATTCTTATATGCATTTGCAGCATTTGCCCGAAGAGCGGGGGAAAAAAGTGTTTAGCCCAGCAGAAAGTGAAACACATGACCCCAAAAAGGAAAAGTATAGCAAATGTAAACGAAATCGAACAGAACTTGAAGAAAACGAACAAATATAAATGAAATAAAGCAAGCACCAATTCCACACCATTTTTGTGTGCGCAAAGATATTGAATTCAATTTGTAAGTGTTGTCTTACATGGCCCGCTTTTTACGAGTGTTACGAGCTACCATTTTGTTGGATTTATCAACTTTAAGGTGGAGTTTTTGTACAATAAACCAAATGGCAAACACTGGAAAATTATGCAGAATTAATCGTATAAATATTTCAACAACTATGTATTTCAATATAGCTAAAGATCTTAAAAAACCTTAAAAGAAAATCAACATTTTTTATCTAAAGATCTTTGAAAATCTTCAATATAACCGAGTTCAAAGTCGTACTACTTAAGGTATCTGAAGCAAAAACCACTTAGGAATTTTAGTTTTGTCGTAGCGTTTTGTGATATTAAGCAATAAATGACATTTCGAGCTACAAATTAGCTGCTATAACTACTTTAGAGCTTAAACCATTTGGGAATTATAAAAAAGTTTCGCCTGCTCTTTGGCAATCTTACTTCACCGGTGGGGGAATATTTACAGCCTGTCCGAAAAGGATTGTGCATAGCATAGTCTGTTGTGCACGTGGATAGGAATAATGGCGATAATTTCTGGCTGGTCTTGCCAATAATTAACTTATGTACAAGGACAACACCGAGAATTGTCCTACGGTTGGTTAACGAAGAAAGGTTGAGAAGAATCAGCCTGCTGGAGTAGGATGGCACCGAAGATTACGGTCCCAATTTAAGCCTCGTAAGGCAGAACAGATGCAAGTACCTATGGTAATATATCATTTCAATAAAGCATGCATTTCATGGATAAAGCACAAGCACTTTGCGTCGATCCTAAGTTATAAACTTTTTCGCTCAGTGTACTTCGAAAACGAAGCGATGCTTAGAAGCATCGACCAGCTTTGCTGAAGGCAGGTTAGCGACTAACTTCGTTGCTCATGTCAGCATCAGCAAGCCGCGACTTCGGCATTCGTTCGTCTGGTCTTTGGAGAAAGAACCAGTCGGCAGGCATGCCGTACGAAGCCTCAAAGGCCAGATGAAAGGCCAGGCTAGAAATATTGCGTCGCATTCAAATGTATGGGCTTTGCTCATCTTAGTGTTTATATTGTCTTTGGTTCGGGCGTGCCGGTGGCAAAAAGCTCTGAAAATGATTTTGAAAGTGATCGGACGTAAGCAAACAACTTTTCCATTGTTCTTCCTTCTATTCTCCCAAATTGCTGAGTTGAACTGTGTTGAAATGCTACAAGTATGGCGTTTGGGCTATTTTCATAAGCTAGAGGATAAAAGCACTCACAAAAGTGCGGGGTAGCGATCTTGTAGAAATGCAGCATACTTTACGCCAGGAACAGGATGCAAAATAATTTATATATGAAGAAACCGACAATGATTGGTTTCTGCAAAAAATGTGAAACACTTTCAAATGGTTTTTCGCAAAGATGTTTGGAAATTAATTTAAACGCGAAACAGCACCTCAGACCCTCATTTATAACGAGAAATATTGGATTTTCCGGAATACCCCTCAATTTGAATAAAAATTTGAGGCAGATCGGATGGAATTCAAAATATTTCATGGAAAATGTCAATTTTTTCTTTCTTGCGGATAAAATTTTGCCCCGTTAGAAAAAAAAATTTAAATTTTATAAGACTTACGGTTTGGGCTTGTGCGTTGATCAACCATCAGTCAGTCGGGAGAAGCCCACTTTGAGCAATAAAAAAAAAACAATTTTTCAGTCGTTATTTCTTTTAAATTAAAAGTAGAAAATTATTAGCTTTATGTAGTACGGCCGAAGAAATCTATTTCTGCTTGTCATTTGTTCAAGACAGACATATATGTGAGGCTTAGGTCATAATAATGAAGTTGTTCGCAGGATACGAAGTAGATTTTTTTCAGTCACTTCAGGATTTTCTTTAGGCATAGTCGTCAATTTTACATGGATGTTAATATCTTACCAAATTAAAAAAGTCGTTAAGGAATAATATAGTAACTTCATTTTTTATAAAAGCGATACTTCATTGTATCCTTTTTAATGATTCGAACAAGTTCTGCTGCGTTTTACTTAAATTTCTGAATTTATTAATAATGTTTATGGGACAGTGTTTTCGTAATAAAAAACTTAACTTATAGCAATTTTACCTATTTACAACTCTCATATTGAAAATATCATGAATTTCATAGCATAAGCACTCATAAGCTGACAGTTAATTCACAGAAATTAATCAAATGCGTTGCCTCGAAATATATTAATATCATATTTCAAAATATTTTAGCTAAACAGTAAAGGCATTTTTCAAATAACTTGATCAGTTTTAAAAGAAAAATGGATCCCGAACGCAATGTAAAACGTCTTCGAAAGCTTTTCGGAGTATCACGAACGATTTTAAAGCGTGCGGCTCGCCGACCTAGTATTAGTGACCAAGAAAGTGAAGAACAACAACGCAAACGCTTTCAAATGCTCCGAGAAATGCGGCAGCAAAGAATATCTAGTCTCGGTGCTAATCAACGATATGTGCTGGAGATTTGTGCGGACATGATAGGCCTAGATACCGAAGAGGTAGTAACAGGCATAGTGGATGAAAATCTTTATGTCGACAATCTGAATGGACTATTTGATGCGAAGGGACCAATGGCTGTAATGCTTAGCAACGCTGCTATGATAGGTTATCCTGTGGACTCTGGACGCTATCAAGATAAACTGAGACATACAGAGGTACATCGAACAATTTGTTTGTGCGCTGGAACAGTCAGATTGATTGGTAAGTGGATGGTAGTATACCGGCAACAAAATGACAAGGCAATAGAAAATCGCTCGGTAAGCGATGAAGTTGCTATGTTTATGATTAATGCAGAAGGACGTGATTCGTGCTTAAATGTCGTCAAGACTTTTGTGGAACAAGTACTTAAGCCATCCATTGAAGCAGTAACTGATTTTGGCCTTGCGGAAAAGGAACAACTCCAAAAGTTTTTTCATATTCTGAATATGTACAATACATTCCTTAAATCTTCCGATGCAATTGTATCGTCCCGTGTGAATTTCGACGTATCTCATGATCTCTTTAAGGGATTTTTGCTAGCTAGGTGGCAAATAGAAGCCAGCTCGAAAATTGTGAGCCGAGTGAGGCTAGTAGAACGATATTTTGAAAAATGGCTGCGGCAGATACAAGGAATACTTGTGGAAGGAAAGCAGATACAAAGGGACCCACCGGACGTAGGACCATTACACATGTTGGTCAACTGGCGACAAATGTTAGCTAAGCTAACATCAATTACAGAATTTGTTACATCCCGTGCATTTAATAATCATAAAGATTGCCTAACCTTATCGCGGTCATCGAAACTTCTTAATGTAAGTATATATAACATTTAACATTTATAATGTGACTAATTCATTTTATCCGTCATTAAGCGCTGGGACAAAATCGATAACCAGGTTACTTTAGCCCTCAACGAAGCAAAAGATAATGTTCGTTTTATTTCATCATTACAAAAGTTTTGGGATCCGCTTTACCGGTAAAACTTTTAAATCTTAGCTTTAATTTAACTTTATTTAAAACTTATTCTTTTTTTCATGCAGTTCATCACCAGATGAAATTATTAGTAGCTTACCCGGGCTTATGGTAGCGATTCGTAATGTGTGCAAAACAGCACATTACTTTAACACTTCTGTTAATTTGACAGGACTCATGGTCAAAATCTCAAATCAGCTTACCATTACTAGTAAAAATTATATTACTGATAATGAACATCAAAGCCTTTGGGAAATATCTTCAAATGAAATTATTGAAAAAATCGAAAAATGTAGAGACGTTATGGATCACTTTAAAAATATATATATAAACACCGTAGAGGAAATGAAAAATAGTAACGAAAGACCATGGACTGTATCTTCAGTTTATATATTTACATGTTTAGAAAAATTCTTGCATCGCCTAGAGAAGATAAAGTGTATTGCAAACACTGAAATAATATATTCAATTTTGGATCGGATATTAATAAGTGGAATGGAAAAATTTAACACAATGATAAAAGCTGCTCGTATTACTATAAGTAGCAAATTGTATGATCCCTTAAATTATCGAATTGAAACTTTTGATACAGATTTTGAAAAATTCGTAAAGGAAGTTGAGGTTGCAGAAGTTGGAATGCAGCAGTTTGTAAAATTGTTAACAACCGAATGTCCAACAGCCGAGTCAATGATGCTGGTGCTTAAACGTTTTGAAGCTTTGCATTTAGAGTGTTTATGTCTAGATCGTCGTTACTTTAAGGTTGCAGAAATGTTAGAAAAGGAAATGCTGTTACTCAAGGATGTGTATAATGAGGAGCGAGGTAATCCATTCATTCCACGAAATTTGCCGCCGGTAGCTGGTCGCATTGTCTGGATTCGTTCGATATTTAAAAAAATTGATTTACCAATGCAGGCGCTAAAGTTGCGACATTGTGTACTCGCTCACAAAAAGGCACAACGTACAGTGCGCTATTACAATTACATGAATGGAATTGTTTGTCATTATGAAATGGCATACCATAAAGCTTGGTTTGATTATGTTGAAGAAGTGCGTTGTGCGCTTAATGCACCGATTTTAACAATTAATAAGGACGAGGCTCTTTATGCTATTAATTTAGATCGTTCTATTTTACAACTTATATCTGAGACCGAGTGGATGTGGAAGCTACACTTGGAAGTTCCTAACATGGCCTCGACTGTGGCTTATTGCAAGGATCGAATTTTTCATCCATTTAATACATTAAAGCTAACATTGCAGCGATTGGACAGGTTGCGCTCCTCACTTACTCCAGTTTTTATAAATATTATGCGCTTTCGCTTACAAGAAATATCCGTAATGCTAAAGCCTTCGCTATCTTCGGTGACATGGATATCAAAAAATTTGGAAGATTACGTAGAAAAAGTTTGCCTGGTAAGTTGAAGAGTTAGATACAAACATTTGAGCTTACAATAAGGAAATTTTCTCTAAAATTTACAGAAAATACAAGAGGTAGAAATATTTATCGGTTTGATTTTAGATATAGAAGAACTCAGAATTATGCAAGAAATCTATAATATATCTGAGTTCTTATATATATATGTTCCTGATGAGCCCGTTTCATCCTATCAATTCGTTGAGGAGAGTAATAAGCTGAGAGCTAAAATTGGTAGGTTCATTAAACAATTTATTGAATGCGTAAGTAATCTTTTATATTAACCTACTACTAGAACGAGTACTTGAGAAAAAGTCTATATGTATGGAGCGTGCTGTTATCGATATTATAAACATGTTTATCGATTTGCTTGATTTTGAACAATCAGATTCAAAGGGACGGCGCGTCTTCCAACTACCAGCCGAAAAATTAAACGATACTAATTGGCGTACAGAGGGTTTTTTGCCAATTGACAAATGGGATTTTATCCAGTTTCATAAAATTTACCGAACAATATATTTAGCCCCTGATGATGTACTGAAGACCTTACAATTTCGAAATTATGAGAATATCAGATATGAACTTCATCATTTGCGTAACGACTGTATGGATCTGTTTTCCTACTACAATTCCAAAATTATCCTAGCCTTGGTGGCAGGCTCTAAACGATCCTTGGATTTTGTTCGGCAAAATATACTCAGGTAAAAGATTTTGTAAAATATACTTCTCACCCAATTTTTATTTAAATTAATTAACGGCTGATATGGTATTTCATCTTGATTCCGAAATTGAGTTGTTTTAATATTTTAAATCTTATCCTATTCAAATCTTCGATCGATTTTAAAATAATGTTTATACCTGTTCATGCCAGTTCAGTGCTAGTGTGAACACAGCATTGACTGAGCCTCACTCAGTGTGAGAGAGTCACTCAGTGAGACAGACTCACTCACTGAGAGGGACTCACTCACTAATTCGATCCCAGATGCGCTCAGCACTCTCCTTGTGGTCTCCTTTCCACCTCCATCACTCCAACCAAAAATATGTAAAATCACTTAACCAGCAGAGTTTGTTACATGCAGCAGAAAATTCTAATAAAGTGCTTTTTCACCAATAACAATCAAGAATTATTTATCTGACGCCACCCCCACAATCATTGGTCCTTCGAGCCGGATTATATATAAACCGATCGCCCCTACACAAGTTTTTTGGCAAAGATAAGTAAATACAAAATTTCCTTTCTATATATATTCGGCAATATCCGCCATATTTTTCAACCATAATTTTTTCTTTAAGAAAACTGATTGGCAATTTTCTGAATATATATATTATATATATATACAAATATATATAAATTGTCCGACCACAAAACTAACGAGAAAGAAGGACTATCTTTGGCACGCCAAAGATCTAATACCCTTGCAGACCCAACCTTTTCATAATGCTCATAGTGCTTTGCGCCTATCTAAGAAGTACCGGGAAAATAGTATATGCCGAGTTTGGTCAAGATATCTTGATAATCAAAATGTTTTTTCATACGACTTAATTTTCGACCGATCGTCCCTATGGCAGCTATATGATAGAGTGGTCCGATCTTAATAGGATTTTGCATATATATGAGGAGCATAGTAAAACTAATATCTTAAAAAACAAAATGTTTTTTCATCCAAAAACTTAGTTTTCGACCGATCATTCCTATGGCAGCTATATGATATAGCGGTCCGATATTAATAGGATTTTGCATATATATGAAGAGTAAAGTAAAACTAATAAATGCCGAGTTTGGTCAAGATATCTTGAAAAACAAAATGTGTTTTCATACAAAAACTGAATTTTCGACTGATCGATCCTAGGGCAGCTATATGATAGAGTGGTCCGATCTTAATAGGATTTTGCATACATATAAGGAGTAAAGTGAAACCAATAAATGCCGAGTTTGGTCAAGATATCTTGAAAAACAGAATGTTTTTCATACAAAATCTTAATTTTCGACTGGTCGTTCCTATGGCAGCTATATGATATAGTGGTCCGATCTTAACAGGATTTTGCATATATATGAAGAGTAAAGTAAAACTATTAAATGCCGAGTTTGGTCAAGATATCTTGATAAACAAAATGTTTTTTCATACAAAAACTTAATTTTCGACCGATCGTTCCTATGGCAGCTATATGATATAGTGGTCCGTTCTTAATAGTATTTTGCATATATATGAAGAGTAACGTAAAACTAATAAATGCCGAGTTTGGTCAAGATATCTTGATAAACAAAATGTTTTTTCATACAAAAACTAAATTTTCGACCGATCGTTCCAACGGCAGCTATATGATATAGTGGTCCGATCCAGCTGGTTTTCACATATGTGCTGCGTGCAACAGAAAGAGGGAGTTCTGCAAAGTTCCATTAAGATAGCTTTAAAACTGAGGGACTAGTTCGCATAGAAACAGAAAGACGGACAGACGGACATGGCTATATCGACTCGGCTGTTGATGCTGATTAAGAATATGTACACTTTATGGGGTCGGAGATGTCTTCTTCTATGCGTTACATATTTCATGACAAAACTATAATACCCACTCTAAGGGTATAAAAAGAGTTTAGTTAAATTTTGAGTTAGTTACTTCCAACTACAAAAGAAATCCACTTTATCATTTTTTGTATGTACATACGTACGCACTCACGCACTTTCCTAACAAAAAAAAAAAAAAAAATTCCGCACTTAATCCAAAAAGTTGCTTCTCAATATTGTTTCCTGATTAATATTGTTAATTCATGTTCATGGCCCGACACATGCATTTTGAATAGACACTATATGTAACCTTATTATTTAATAAACATAAACACAAACTCCAATTCATTCTCTTAACTTATAATTTATTGCACCTTGTATTACTTAATAAAAATAAACACAACCCCCAATTCAGTTTCTTAACTTATAATTGTGCATAGTGCAAACGAATATATTTGTGCAGCCACATAGTACATACATCCGATATATAAATCCACAAATCATATGTACTATGTGTGCCACATATAATATATTTTGGTGCACAATCCACAGCAATATTATAACACAGCAATATTATAGTAATAAATTTCAATTTCAACCAGCGTATGTGCGTATGTACACACCACATACATATGTAAAAAACACAGCTGCCGATCCGATCCAATTACACGTTTTTATGCAATTGCACACATTCCCATACAATTACTCTTGTTCCGAGACGCACCAAATAAAAACACAACAATCATAATTAATAGATTAATAATACTTCTAATTTATTGTAAATAAACAAAACCACTACACATTAACTTCGAAGCTCTACATTTGTCAGCGGAGTGTACTCAGCCACAATAGTGGGTATTTTATGAGTACCACAAAAAAGTAAAAATAAACCAACCGTTACCGTATTCAAAGACTAATATAATGATAAAATTATCGAAAACGAGCAACGAATTCTTTATTATTATTTCCCGTGTTTAATAAATAATCGTATTTTAAATTACCAAGTCAAATAAATTTATTAATTAAATTAATAAAATCAAATAAATTTTGATATTAAGCAAAATTATTTAAATCTTCCGCAATCTTAATCGAATTATAAACTCGATTATTTACCTGTACCGGCATTCCAGTGGCTCTATGTTTTAAGCATCGCTACCTCTACTACTAGCAACGAGCACCTTTGTTTTCCTTCCCAAGCGCTTCCGCCTAGTATGCCAACTGGCAAAGGGGAAGAAACAAAGCATGAATTAGCAGTTCCGTCCGCAAGCACCTCCAGAACTTCTCCGTCTCCACCAGCAGCCCGTAGAGTCGAAAGGGAATCATCATCCCGGACCAAAAGCGAATCATCCGCGTCCACTTGGCGTGGAACTGTTAAGGCACCTCTTAGTTCGAGGCCAAAGCTAAAAGCGAAGCATCCCTGACCACTGCAGTCGGACGCACTAAGGCAACCATTAGCACAAGATCTAGTCCGATTTCCACGCGAGCTAATACCAAAACGGTCCAAAATATGACAGACGCGGCCTTAATCAAGTTTATTGCTGTCATTGATCGGCTAAGTCAGTTTGAGGCAAAAATAAACACTCCTGGAGGCTCTGACCCGTCTGGACCCGTTGGGACCAAGTGCGAGCCTTGTGGGACAAGGTTGAAAAAGGTACGAGGTACGAGGTCGGCTCAACAATAATCTCGGAAGCCGGTGCACTGGAAACCATTTCAGTTATGCAGTCCAAGTACGACTATTGTTACATGATATATGAGAGATGCGCCGCTAAACTTAGCGAGTAAATCGATACCGCTAACGCCCAAAATAGACTATCCGCTCAGTCCACCATTCCGACATATGTTCGCACAGGGTGTCGCTTACCTCCTTGCGACACAGAAATCTTAAGCAGAGATTACATACGTAATACACATTTCGAGACCTCTTTACCGCAATTTACATAAATAATCCTAGGTTATCAGAGGTCGAGAAATTATTCCATCTCAATGCGAAAACCAGCGGTGAGGCTCAGGCGATTGTATCGAAGTCACCTTTGACTAACGATGGCTTCCGATCAGCCTGGGCCAATCTGACTGAGCGTTTTGAGAACCGAAAATTGTTAGTCAACAGCCAGCTCAAGATTCTTTTCAACCTGCAGCCAATCTCCCAAGAGTCTGGAACGGCAATTAAGGAACTTCAGAGCACCATTCAAGGTTGCTTAACAGCTCTGGAGTTATCCGAAATCAACATAGAAAACTGGGACTGTATCCTCGTGTTCCTATGTTCCTCCAAATTACCCAAATTAACACTCTCCTTATGGGAACAGTCCATCTCCAGTAAAAACGACATCTCATCTTGGCTTGAGATGAACGCCTTTCTCTTAGAACGTTATCGCACTCTAGAAGCGATAGAAGAGCTTAAGCCAAGCGCAAATACTCGAGTGCACTCCAAAATTGTTCGAACAGAACCTCCTACCACTAGAAGGCTTAACTCATTTGAGAATAAGGTCGCTAACAAGCCGCTAGCCTGCAAATTGTGCTCCAGGGAGAATCACCCTATCCGTCTGTGCCCACGATTTCTCCAAATGCCCGTCAGCAAACGGGCACCTTACATTAAACAGCATAAAATGTGTTTGAACTGTTTTGCTAGGGGTCATCAGTTAAGGGATTACACAAGTGCTCACAATTGTTTTACGTGCAAGGGTCGTCACAAGTCTCCATGCCACAAGCAACAGCTCCCTCCAATCAATCCATACAGTCCACTCCATCCCAACAAACGAATGTTCACAATTATGTTGCAATTAACACCCACGGTGTTCTCCTAAGTACGGCTGTTATATATGTTCGCCATTTGGGTGTAAACTATACAGCTCGTGCACTGATCGACTCGGGATCAGAGGCAACATTTATTTCCGAGCGACTCTTCCACCTGATACAGCGTCCGTACAGGCACAAGTATCGGGATTAATCTACCATCATGTTCGATACCCTGAAGTTTATTGACAACCCACCTAAAACTCCAGTTAGCGGACCCTAATTTCCACAAGAGCTCGCAGATAGATGAGCTGATTGGCGCTGATATCCTACCGTCCATACTAATGGGCGGCTCCCATTCTAATATATGTGGCACGTTGCTGGGTCAGGAAACTATTTTCGGGTGGATTTTAACAGACCCAGTTACAAAGACCGCATCTACCGCAATCTCGTCATTCTCGACTCGA